AAATCATTGAGTACTTTTCAACAAAATCTTTTAGAACATTTAAAAGAGGACGGCGATTCCAATAAAAATATTGTGATGTTCTTTCTTCCTTAGATTAAAAAATTGAATGACGACGAAAAGTTAGACTTCCAGGTTCACACTCGGCAATATTTAAAAACATAATTTTCATTATTCAATGCCAACGCCATCTTTATCTCGATCTTTATACTCTCAACATTCTACCAACACTGTCCCAATACCTAACTATGCACTTCAATCACTTCACTCCCAACAGTTATCCTATCCAGACTACTCAAATAATCAAACATCTGAATTATCGCCTACGCCCTACTTACATCCATCAATATTCACCTAATAATGCGCAAACAAATAATAAGTATTACATTTTTTTATTTAACATTTATATTTACACATATTTATAAAATATTTTTATTAGTTTAAAATACCAGAAAAGTAGCCAAAGTAGGTATTATTATTTTATTATTTTTAATATTACTCTCTCATAATTTAATGAATTTTATAATGAGCTATCCTCGTGTAATATTAAATTCATACAAATTGTTTGTAAGATTATTATTATTTTTTTTTTATATATACATTTTGTATGATTCAACACATTTGTTTAAAAAATACTAAATACTAATACATATACAGCACTTTATATTGTTTAAAATAAACAATTCATTTTTATGTTAAATAATTGTTTTAAGTACCTATTTAAATAGTAATATTAAGTATCACTGACTGATATTATATTATTATAGAATAGTTTTGGGTATATCTCGACATGAACGAAGTCATTGTATTGGTCTTACAACTTTTAAAAATTATGTTTTTAAGTATACTTTTATACGTAGAAAAAAAATGCTATGAACATAAATTTGAGGGGAGGTGGTAGCAAATTTAATGTAGTTTGTACTTTGTGATCAAAAGTAGAAAATCCCCAGTTACTTATTATACCAGCTAAAAGATTGACAGTAACTTTAAGGTAAAATTTAAAAACATTTAAGTTTAATTTAATTTTATATTTTTTATCTACATTAGCCATATAACACATATTAATATTATTATGATATAATGACTAAAATACATCATATAATATTATTATCTATTTAGTATTAGCTGGTATAATAAGTAACTGGGGATTTTCTACTTTTGATCACAAACTACAAACTACATTAAATTTGCTACCACCTCCCCTCAAATTTATGTTCATAGCATTTTTATCAGGACTTATAGAAATTCGAAATTGCGTGACTTTCTTCGTTAAATGTGTTCGGACCTTCTTAAGTAGCTCTTCAAACGTAGAAATTGACATACGATAATAATCGAAAAAATTTTCAGGATATTTTTTTAGATTATTATAAAATTCTTGAAACTGTATGTCGTGTTCTCTACTACTATGCATAGGATGGACCCAATACATTCTGCGCTTTTTTCCTGGTTCTTTAAGCTCACCAGCAGCTTCAGCCATACAAATTATTTCAGAAGAGAACTCATTTCTATGTATAGTTATAAATTATAATTATTATAATTAAAATATATTAAACTCATAAATTAAATCAATTATATTTTGAATTTATAAACACTTACCAGATTTAAATTGTATAGAGTATAGTAATAATATGATTTTAGGAGATTAATAGGTACTTAAAAGAACAAGTGAACACGTTTGTTGCACTAAACTGCCAGAGACATGGGGACAGTCTCCCCTATCCACGCGGGCACAAATCGTCCGAGTGAGCCTAGCCGGAACGACCGTCGCTGTCACCCATGGCGGCGGGGCGAAAGCCTGCGAAGTACCGGATAGTGGCAGGCGAAGCGGGACCCGATAGCCGGATCAAAAGGGCCCTAAAACGGCGCCGCCACAGGATCGTCGAACGCCCTCCGTACTAAGACCCGCCTAGCCGGGAGCGAGGGACGGGATACCCGGCGGGACGGACTGAATGCCCGACCTCCTCGGAGACGGGACGGACGGAAAATCTCGCGGGGCGAATTGGGTGCCCTCACTCCCTATGAACAAATTCTTGCCTAGACCGAGAGCTCGAACTAGAGGGGCCAGACTAACCGTCGGGCGAAGCACGTGCACGTATTCAGCCGGCTCGGGACTTGATACGAGAGAGGCACCGTCAGAAACGGCAATCGGTCGATAAAGAGCAAAAACCGTACACGCTATAAAGGGGTCGTCGCGGTACACACAGCGGTGCCCCGATCGACCTGCTTGCGGACAAGGCAGTTGTGAGGGCCTGAACGCCGGGTTCAAACCTTGTACCACGGGACTCAGAGTAAGCCCCGTCGAGTCGGCTTGCTAATAGCGCCTCGACGCTCCGGGGGTGCTGGACCCGAGGCGCACGACCGCGTGGACTCATCGAGGACTCGCGCTCGCCCGCACCGGGGAAGGCACACTTGAGGAAGGACTCGTGGTGGTTGTGGGAGTACCGCCTTAGTAGAAGGGGTTTGACTCCGGTGATAATCCGTCGGGCTCTGGCCGCGGCGGTCACTCATTATGGCGCCCGAGGTGAGGCGGCGCCCCGGGCAGGACCCCCGGAGTCATCTGGGAATACTGCCCGGAAGAGATAACCCCGCGGTTATACAAAGGGGCTGAGTGTCTCCGGGGTAACCCGGAAGAACTGGTCGACCCCGCAACACACGGAAAGATGTCCCAAATGGTCGTATCAAACAATCGTATTACAAAAATTAAATTCCAAGATTTTATTTTATAAATATCCGTCAGGGACTAGATAATATCTTAGTCAATGCATTAGTCCGTGGAATTCGTCACCCAACAATTCGAGACAAGAGTGATAAAATTAGTGAATTACATATCTAATAATAGATTGAAAACTATAAATTCCAAATACGGGTCTCGAACGTACATTTGATAAACACGACCACAGACAAACATGACCACAATAGTTCATAGTTTATTTTTTGTGATTGATCACTGAGCACTTACTAGTTACCACTATAATAATTAATAAATAAAATAACAATATAATATTATTGTGTATCAATTTGTATTGATTCATTATTCACAAAAATCAGGCAGAGGCCAAGTCACAAGCTGCAATATAATAATGAAGAGAAGTATAATAAGTTATTTTAATAACCCAAAAAAACTTAAAAACTGATAAAGGTAAGTACGATAATTATACACACTTCAGATACATTTTATCTACCCAAGTCTTATTTACCTACATTTTATATTTACTAATTATTAGACTTATTTTCTTATTAGTTCGCATATTCTAGCATTAATAGGTTTTTAAACTATTAATAGTAATTTTTTTTAAATTTTTAAGACATTTTATTCTATTATATTGTCGAATTTGTCGTATTTTTATTTTTTATTATCAAAATAATAATTATTTAATAGTGTTTATATGCTTTATATTCTTTGTACACTCGTAATCTCAGCATTTAAACTATTTTTATAAAGTATAATTATTTAGGTAATACTAAATATTTCTGGACATATATAATATATATATATACTAGCTGACTCGGCCACGCGTTGCTGTGGCTAAAGTTTTTGTTATATTACATTAAGAGGAACAATAAGAGAACATCAGTCACGGAGTCCACTATGCTTTTTCACACAGATGGTATTTGTAAAAAAATATGGTGATCTCCTTTTTTGACTTTCTACTACTATAACCCTTTAGTACAATGAAATTATTTACTAACAAAGACGAAAATGTTGATGTTGGTATACAAATTCACTGGATTGAGATTTGAAGGGGAAGTACGTTGAACACAATTAATTAAAATGTTCTTACACTTGATATTAAGCAGAAATCAATAGGTACAAAATAAAAATTTATCAGATTTATTATTTCCATTTAATTTTATAAAAATATAAGTATATTACAGTATAATACAGTAAATAAAATGTGACGCTTAAACTCATGAATGAGATAGGCAAGGCAGACAGTCTTAAACTTTTAAACATTAATATCTATTTTTTTGAATTATAAATACTTTCAATTTCAATTTAATTTAACACCAACCGGTGCACAATGTTTTTGGTTAACCTGTCTTTAGCTAACACAAATAGATTCGACGGTTTCCCAACACGTAAACACGCAACATATAGTTGCCCATGAGAAAAACATGGATTTTCCAAATCTAAACCACAAATGGACATTGTTTGAAAAATAATTTTCAATGGAGGTTAAATAAAAATAATATAAAAATTTTTGTACAATTATTGAAAAAGTGTGGCAATGCCTGACGATGCTACTGCTAATGCGATTTTTTGTTGCGACCGTATTTTGGCAAGAATCAACGATATTAAAAATGTCTTACCGGTTCCACCGGGTGCATCCAAGAAAAAAAAACCGCCTTGTTCAGTAGCAACAGCCAGCATAATCCGATCATAAATAATTTTTTGTTCTGCTGTCAGTAATGGTTCACTGTTCATGATAATTGTTGCTAAACTTCCATGGTCATATTGATTTTCTCGTTGTAAATCGGTATTGACTAAGTCGGTGGCTGGACGATTAGGTGATGGCATACCATAATGATTAAGTGGTAAATTTGAAATAAGAACACATAAATCCTCGATCAAGACCAATGCTTCATTGTACATCTCTGGTGTATAATCTATGTTTTGGCATTGATTTATTTGTCTAATTCGATGCAAGATGTCTTCTGTCATACAATTTTTATATTTTTCCCACAAAGTTTGTGCTTGCGAGGGATAACATGTCGTCAAAATAATTGCAAACAACTGACGAATGTTATTCGGTGTTGATGTCAACGCAGCATCAGCAAGCGTTAAGTCCCAATGGTTATCGTCTTCTAGCAATTGCAGTTCACGACATGCATCCTGGTATGTATTGAATACTCGACCATTAACTGTTCGTAGAAATTCAAAAGACGTTGGTCCGGGAACATTCACCAATAACAAACGTAAATAGAAGCACTCACGTTGCTTTGGATGTACCGTGTAAAGTCTCCCCAATTTCTTAGCTTTGAATATGCCTGTAATGGAAGGATGTGGTTTTCCTTGTTTCCGTGGCTCCCATTTTTTACTGGAATTGTTCCATGTGAAATAACGTGGAACATCACCATACACCAATATCTTCGCGAATTGGCCAAAAACATCAAGTTTTTGACTCAGTAAAATATTCAGTTAAAGTCGTTTTCGGAGCTTCGAACGCTCTTTGGAGAGTATTTTCTTCAGTGAAATATACCCGTTGACCGTTTTCAAGATGTATTGCCAGATGTTGGACAGCAGGATCTCTTTCGTGGATGGGAAAGCTGAGAATATGCCAAATAGCTTCATTGCTGCCAATGTATCTGCCCATTTGGTATCGTGCTATTTCGTCATTATTATTTATGTTTTGTACTTCAAATATGGCCAAATCACTGCCTTTGTTTACATTTTTACAAATATACTTAATTGATTTAACAGAACTGCAAAGCTCAACATTGATATGAGCTTTGTAAATTTTTGAAAGTAGTGGTGAGTATGGTACCACCCACTGATTATCAAACTCAACTTGTTTTGGAAAGTTCGGCAGTCGCATTGTAAATGTGTGGCCACCATTCTCAGTATTTCTGCGGCAATACATTGGATAACCATCAATATCCGCGATCGTGTCATTCGTATGCGGCTTTGGGAAGTTTTTTTTACATTTTCCATTTTCCATGCACGGTGACGTCATGTTGAAAGCACTGCATGGCCCATGGATCATGTGTTTGGTGACAATATCAAATAATTCTTGATCAATTAATGGGTCTGGAATTTCGGCTGAAATTATTTGATCGATTTCTTCAGGAAGGATTCTATCTTTAAGCCAAACCAAAATGTGGGCATGAGGCAAACCTCGCTTTTGCCACTCTATCGTATACAGCCAACAACGTGTGATACCAAAAATTTCATATTTAACAATAAAATCAATTAAGGATTTCAATTTTTGTTTAAACACACGTGCAGTTAAATCATGACGATGAATGGATATTGTAGTGCGTCATATGAACGGTGTAAATTACGTCCATCGGATGCACGATCGCAAATTTTAGTTGCCCCAAATGACGTCATTTGGAAGCAAGAATTAAATTTGCGTATCTTA